ATAGGGGAACTGCAAAACTTTCAGAACTACTAAAATGAGGCAGTGATTCTTGAAATAGAGGAAAAAAGTGTTAGATAAAGGAAGTCTCTTTCTTTAACTACAGTAGCAGGTTGACATATGCTGAGATGTGTGCTTCTGCCTAAAAATTTTTACAGTTAAATCTGCAAATATGATCCAGTGTTTGTGAGATGCTTTTCCTTGCTTCTCAATAGTGTTCCTGTGTTGCAGCAGTCAAAGTTGTTCCCTAGTGCTTTTAAGGAAGCTCCTGAGGTGAAAACAATTGGAAGTTAAAAATTTTAGGGAATAATAAAGCACTTACTGTTTGTATTCTTCCCTGAGCATCTGCTTTATGGCTGGTTTTAAACAAATCTTAGGGCTTGACTGACCCTTTTGGCTGTATTAGGATTGAATCATCTTTCTGACTCTTTCAGGTGCTTGTAACTTTAGCAGACCAACCATGTAGGCTGAGTTTCCATACAAAGTGTGTTAAATTATATTAACCTCCATCAGAGTGGGTCCTGTCTTTTTTCTCAAAGTAGGCTTGGATGTTTTATCCTCTTAATATTTCTGATGCCTATGAAAATATGCAATACATCTAACAGCATTTGACACTGTTTTGTACCTGAGAGGTAACTTTTAATGCCTTACTGATCTTTTCTATACTCTGACCTGTTTAAATCTTCTGAAATTGTGTGTACTCGCCTTTGTAGAGTTTGGGAGCTGAATCCTTTGTCTTCCACACACCTGTCTTCTGAGCAGTACACCTGGGCAGTGTGATGTTCTTTGCAGCTGAGTCACAAATGCTCAGCAGTCTTTTGGGAGTGAGGGGTTGATTCCTTTTCTCTTGGGCATTGCTCCTTCTAACTGCCAGCTTTGCTATAAGGAAGTGCAGACTTGACTCCATCAGGTAGTTCAAACATTAAGCTGGACAGCTACTGGAGTAGTGGGAGCCATGAAAATGGGATGTGCAGTGGGAAAGACAGGAATAGATGGGATTAGGCTGGGAATAGAGAACTTTAAGACATCTGATGACAAATAATTGTTGTAAAATTGGAATGGTATATTTTCACCTTCAAGTTGGGGATCACTTTGTTTTGAAGTCTAAAGAATCCAGCTGTGAGGGGGTCTGCTCTAGCTAATTTAAACTTTATTCTTGCTTTTTTAATGTAAATTGGTTTTTAATACAATTATTTTGGTAAAGTATAATGTCCTTCAGTTAAGAAAGGTAGAAAGGAATGATATAAACTTAAACCAGTTTCTACCTCTCTAGAGCTTAATATGAAAAAAATTATCAAGATTAATATCTTGTGGTTATAATTTATATTACTCTGAGCTGTTACCATTTTGGCCTTCTGTAATACAGGGCTACTAACTGTTTCATGAGTGGTTTTGACTTGAGAACACTAAAAAGGCCAAAACTTCAGCATCTTTAGAAATTTTTAGTTGTTTGTCTGCAAGCTTAGCATTTATAGTGACCAAGTCCCATGATGCCACCTGCCCTGTAATAACCATTTTGGTTAACCATATTATGGTTATGTGTATTGATAGGTGCTTATTACAAGCAGGCTGGCTAGCAGTTTCTCCTCCTCACTACACTCAAAGGTCATTTCTATTCCTGGACTTGGAAGTGAGGTGAAACTTGGCTGGTAACACTTAATGGAAGAATTTTTCCTTTGTTTCCTCTTAGCTGAACTTTGCAGCTTTACTTCTTCACTTGGCAGCTTTACAGCATCTTTACCTTAGTCTTTGGAGTAAGATAAGCTCAGCTGTATAACTAAACAAGCAGATTGCACTGCAATACTCTGTACCTTTTTTGAACAAGAGTTATCGACAGTAAGTCTTAGTCAGAGACATGGGAAAGGCAGTGACCACTAGTAAGTAATGCAACTCAAATCTTAGCCCTTTTTCTGCATCTGGGGATACAGGACACACACTTCTTTGCATAGGAAGTACTTCTGCTTTTTTTTTCTTCTGAGCCTAATGGGGTTTTGGTGTAAAATTTGGTGTGCATAAACCAGGAAAAAATACAGGTGTGTGAGGTTCTGCAGTCTTTTCTTTTCCAGTAGACTATTGTAATCTGCTTGACCATGAGCCTCCTCAGAAAAGACTGGATTGTCCAGGCAACCTAGATCATATTTCTCCTAGTTTGATTATCTTCTCTTAAGGGAAGGTGAATTGCTGCATTTTTGCTGCTGATTTTTGCACTTCTCTTGGCATGTAAGTGCAGTGTCAACCAACCACAGCTTTTTGGTGTCTTCATAGTTAAATCAGGTTTTTATTTACACCCTCATCATTAAGTACTGGGGGATGTATCTTCTGGCCACTTACAGATGGAAATACCTCAAAACTATATGGAATGAAAAACAGCATACCAAAAAAACCCCAAAAATATGGAAGACTGCATGATGCTATACTGGAAAAGTCTGTGGAATGCTTTTCAGCCTTACCACACAATCCTGCAGCTGCCAGCTATCAGGTCTTGTTGTTTGTGGAATCTGATTAGCACCAAGTATGTTTTTGATAGCATTACCCCAGGATGGATGCCTCATGCCCTAGTGGCTTCATGTGTTAATGGTAAAAAAATTGTGCATCTGAGGATCTCAGGGATATATATCTTAGTGTGAGCTCTTGGATTCAGACTGTAAAAGCAGTGGGATCACAGGAGAATAAAGCATAGAGGGAAAGATGTTTGAGAAAATGCTTCGGTTCCAGGCTTAGAGGTTTGGATGGTTGCTAAAATTAATTCCCAGGCTGTAACACTTGAGAGTTTATTGTATATGTAGCTGTAAAGCCTATATACAAGAGTTGATGTATTTTAATGTTGATTACTTGCTAGATGTATTTGTTTCTGCTTTTTAAGAGGGTAATTTAAAGCTAATATATGTACAAGTCCAGCTTAATAGTCTATTGATCTGATTAGCAGTAGTCAACTACTAAATATAAAGGCGTAAAAAATCCTGGCTTTACACTACACTGCCAGAAAGAGCAACCTGATTTATCCCATAGTAGTAATTAAGAGTTTTATGTTTAGCCTTAACTAAGCAATGAATGCTGATTTTAAATTGTTCTACCATGTTGGGAATGATTTAATGATAATCATCCTTTTGTTTATTATTGTTGCTAGCTTTCACATGACTGGATTGAGTGCTAGTTTCATCAGCAGAAAATTATCTTTACTGCTTCTATCTGGAACTCAGAAGTGAATTCATAACTTGATTTTTACAACTGCTTTTTAAGCACTGCTTAAAGTGGTTCTTTGTAGTGATACAGGTGCTCCACCTAAGTGTTCTAAAACATTTTCTAAAATTACTTTCAGTAGAGCTGTGTACACTCTGTGAATCTTTTGTTAATGTCAAAGGATCCTAGGAAACCAAAGCCTTTGGCTGTAAAAATCAAGTTGAGATGCATTTGAGTCTAACCTTATTGCTTTTGCTGAATATTCTTAGCTTTTTAGGTAGCTGAGTAAAATACTGGAGTTGACTGAAAACATGAACTTTCAGATCAGATGTTAAAAATGCTTCTGTACTAAATGATGTCTTTGCTGTATTCCTTAGCATAGGAAAAAAATTTGGGGAAATTAGTGCTACCCTAAAGGATTCTCCACTGTACTAATCTTGACTGCACATAAGATAAATATTGGGAGACAGTATCTGTCAGATAAGGCTCTTCCAGGTGCACCTCAGTATGCACACATATCATTGCATTCACAAAGTATGCAGTCATCTGAATTACACTCCCAGTTCCTGTAGGTGAACCTACAGCCTATTTCCCTGAGTTCCAAAGGGACATAGTGTAAGTAGTAATCATCTCCCTGTTACTGTCATCAGAGTCATTTTCCTATTTAAGCCAACAGGGGGTAAGTTTGAAGTCCAGGAAGGTGAGGGCTGGGATGGTCACTTCAGTTGTCTGGCACCAGTTAAAACTCTGACCTTTAGTCTTGAGGTTCTTGTTCTAGTCTTTTAATTGCTTTTCAGGATTCGAGCACTGACCCTGCCCTTTTACTCCCCACAGTTGTCCTTTGACTTCAGGATAGGGTTCATGTAAGCAATGCTTAGAATAGGAAGTCTTTTACTACACAGATGACTGAGTATCTCTTGGTAACTGGGATGTGTCTCAAATATAAGTTAAACTGCTTATTTCCAAGTGGTTCTGAATCAAGGTTTTACCTTCATAAACTTCTACTGCAAAAATTACTCCAAATACAAGGTATCATAGTTTGTTGGACAGGTAGCTAACATCTTTCTGCTCTGAATATTATGAAGTGCAGGTCCTATAGATGAGGAGTTTTAAATTGGTGTGTATCAGTGACAGAACCAGGTTAGAGTCAAATTAAGTGAAATTAAAGCATCTTGGGGGAAAAAAATGTTAAATTTAGAAATTAAATTCAATGTGTTGTGCTTTTTCCTCTTACATAAATGTTTAAAAGAAACCAAATTGGACAAGGGCCAGTATACTCTTGCTGTATTTTAGTTATGCAATAGTGTAAGCATGTCATGCTAACATAACACTTCAGTAACTAAAAAGAAGCTTGTTTCTGTCTAAAAATTAGAAATATTTTCAAAGGTCTATTTTTAGCCAGAAGATGCCATTCCAGAAGAATTAGTTTAACTTCTCTGTGATGAAAATGTCTTAATTTTCATACTTTGCCATCTATATGATTTGAAGACTTAGTTCTGGAAAATATTGTTATTAGATTTTTATTGTATGCCTTCACTCCTATGCACATTATTCTGTATTTTCCACATTGTGTCTAAGCATCCAATGAAGGCATTTGTACAAAGAGATTACAATGGCATTGTCTTGACTTAGTTTTATGAAACAGATTGGATGTTAACTGTTTTCCTCTTTTTCCAACTCAACTCCTGCTTGCCTGTTATGTTTTCTTTCTGAGGCCTGTAATCCATCTGGCTAGGTGAATAAGTGCATTGCTGGAAAAGCAGGTAGTAGTGAGATTCCTGAGCTGTGAGCTGTATTTAACAGTCATTTGCAATTATTTCTAGGTGCTGTTGGTAAGCAGTAGCCGATACCCAGATCAGTGGATTGTACCGGGTGGAGGAATGGAACCAGAGGAAGAGCCGGGGGGAGCAGCCGTGAGAGAGGTCTATGAAGAGGTAACAAAAATAAAACAAAGCAAAAAATCCAGCTGATCTGTGCTGCTGTTGTCTTCAGATGGGAACCAAGAAGGAAGAGGGAACTGCCTCCTTTATCCAGTACTTGACTGAGACCTTTGTGGTTATGAATTTCAAAGAACTGCAGTTCTGTGTGTTAGAATTGGGGTATAGTGTGGTGAGGTGAACTAATCAATTTAGCTTCTTCTTTCATTTCATAGCTAAATTTCTGTCTGCCTTTATAAACAAGTACTGGAAGTAAAACTGTGACTTTATGCCAAATGGCATGTTACAGTGTTGTAACATTTCTGTGTTTGTGAAGAAAATGTTTGACTTGCAGCTCTTTTAGAACAGAGTGAAGGTAAACTAACCATTAACATCTAGCTGCATAAGAACAAAAATCAGCAGACCTTAGAGGACATTTCAAATTAAACAGATTAGAAACTGATCTATCTGAGCAGCTGAGAATTCATATGTTTACGTCTGCTTATCTATAAAGAAAGCACTATGGTTATTGTCTGCCTTTCTATCCCTACCCCTATGACCAGGCAAAACAGAGCTTAAATCATGATGAATTCATGCAGTTTCCCTATACTACAACACTTAAATTTCAAATTCAGAATTCTGGGGTTTCATTTGCTGTTTTTCCTAGGAAAATTGTGAAAAATATTAAGTGTTTCTTTAATATCTAACAGCCATGTCTAAACCAAATAAAACTGCAAGAAAAATCAAAATATAAGACTTGAATTGAAGGTATAAGATTTTTCATAAATTGGATGCATTCTGGTGAGTGAACTGCAAGATTTCTACTAGACTTAACTGGTTTTCTCATCCCATTTTGCTATTCCCAAAACACACTAATATTGTTGCTGATTAGTATTTGTAATGATTTTTTCTATTAGCTATGCTATTTGATGGTTTATCTTGCTTACCCTTAAGACTGGTTCTGTTGTGATGTTGAGGCTTAGGAACCTGATGTGTAGATGTGACTTGCACCAAACAGTGCCTGCTGTTGAGTGACAAAGTGAGATCTTCTGTGAGCTGTGACTCAGTGACCCTTCTCCCATTTTCCTTGGGGAACAGACTGGTTCATTACTGGCTGCTCTCAGCAGCCTTCCTGCAGCAAGGTTCAAGCATGAATAAACCTCACTGAACCAAAGGTGTTTGTTCCAGACTGGAGGAGTTCATTTTGACCCACACAAGACATACTCAGCCACAGGGTACAGTCCATTTGAAAGGAGCAAAGAGTTTGGGTTCTAGCAATGAGTCAGCAAAGATTTAGGCTTTCAAGCAGTAGTAACACCTCTAGGGAGAGTCTTGTCTTCCCACTGTCACAAGTTCATGGGTAGGATTAAAAAGCCCAGTCCTCGCTCAGTGTTCTTAGGAATGCTGGTAATTTTAATTGCTGATCTGACTTAGGGTATAGTCCAAGATAAGGATAGTAAAGTCTCATCTCCGTGTTAAACTAGAGCCGATTAAACTGTAGTCATATGTTTGGGGTTTTTTGTTGGTAGTAAAGAATGGATGATCTTGAAGGGACTGTGCTTTTTATGGTGTTTTGGAGTACAATATAAAATTCCAGCCATGTTCTGCTTTGAGCTGTGCTTGCAAATGCATGAAGAGTTTTCATGGACTAGGTGCTTTAATAAGCAAAAATAATTTGGTTACACTTGTTCTACTCCCTTAGAATTCCTGGGGTATGATAGCTTGTATAGCTGATCAGACTTAGAAGCTCATACCATAAAGTAAAATATTCTTCAGCTACCAGCTGAGTCTTATATGCTTCCATGAGATTGCCAAATGCCATTTTTAAAGAAAAAAGAATGGTACTTAGGGGTTTGAGCCATGGAAATTCTTACTGACCTTTCTAAAGGTGGATGTCCTTTCTATTTTTATACTAAGGTCAATGTCACCTGGCAGGCTGGTTACAGTACAGTGAACTGTTAAGAGTTTTGTGAATGAATAAACTTCAAAGAAAGCACAGTGGTGCTGGTTTGAAATGTGTTTCTTCAGTATTGGGTCATACACATGACTCAGTATTTCTATTAATTTATTAAAATGGATAAATTCATAGTGGGAGTTATGATGACATTCCTTAATTGTAGAAGTGTTGATAGCCCACTGGCTTTAAATATCCTCACTTCAACACCAATAGTAGTGTATTGAGAATGTTTTACCACTCAAAGATCCCTGTAATCAAATGTACATGCATGGCAGTTGTTTCATAGTCTGCCTGTGTACATGACTCCAGGGGTTTTTTAACTCCTCAATTCTTGTTTGTGTTAGTGATAATGATTTTTGCCTCTACTGAATATTTAGTGTTTCATTTAAGGTTGTCTGACATTTCACAGGTTACTGGAAATTGATAGTTACCTTAATTATTTAGATGAAATCAACTTTTCCAAACCTGCAAGTAGAATACCAAAATGAAGTTACAAATGAACCTCATCAAAATGAAGAGCTACTCCATTAATGAATTTGGAGCTTTGTCTTTAATTGCATAGCATGAAAGATTAAAATAAGTTGTCTGCAAATGCACTGTTCAAAGAAAAATGACACAAATGAGCGGCAAGCCAACGATGCCCAGCCTTGTAAATGGAGATGTTCTGTGAACCACTCCCTTTTCTGGCTCCATCTCACAAAAAAGAGACTCTTGCTTTGTTTGTTTTAATAGTGTATTGAAAGGCCTGTGAGAAAATATGCAGTTTCCTTCAGCCCTGTGTGGATATAGTTTCTGAGAAGAAGAGGATGATCCTGAAGATTATTTGCTGTAGCTGTGAAAATGACAGTAGTATCATCTAAGACTTTTCACAGGAAATAGAGGAATTAGCTCCAATGAGCATCTAATATTTGAAAAATGACCAGGTCCTACAGACTAGAACTAGTTAGACACTGCAGAAATAAATAAAGCACACTCTCCGCTGAAAGATTAGGGCAGATGTAGTCAAGCGTTTTGTAAAAGTATGCAAAAATGGGCCAGGAGTAGTCTTGCCTCCATCTCTTCAGGACTGTAGCCAATAAATGGCTACAATACTATCCTACAAATGCCAGAGTTAAAAATAACCCAAATCTTTCAGATCTTGAGCAACTTTGTGCCCCGGTAGCTGTTAGCTTGGCAGTGGAGCTGCAGCGTGACTCTGGCTCCATCTGCAGGGCACAGGCGAGTCTGGCGCTCCTCGGAGACTGCGGTACCTCCGCAGCTCTACAGGAGTGACCTCCGGGCACACTGATCATGGCGTGAAGGGCTGAATTCTCTCTCTTGTGGCTGATTTAGACTAATGCTAAAATATATGCATGAGATTCAGATCTGAGGTTCTATTTGCAGAGTACTCAGACTTCCTTAGAGTATTGTTCTGGGCAAGTATAGCACTTAACAGCTTGTCTGTCAGAAGAAAACTGGGGTTTTTCAGGCTTTTTTCCAAAACTTTAGATGGCCTTACACACTTACAGAGGCCTATAGGATTCTGTTTACATGAAGAGCCATATTTTAAGAGCCATGGGTACATAAAAGCCAAAGGAAGAAGTATGTTTTTATGAGAGGCAAAATGGTTCAACGTCTAGAATTTAACCACTGTATTGGATTAGAAGCTTACCATTGGGAAAGAGGGAACTGCTTTTGATATTTTGGGGATAAAGCTGAAGTATTTCTTGGTCCTCTAGCACTTAAATTTGACACATTTTGAAGCACATTAGGAAAAGAACTTGAAGGAAATATTCTTGTTAGTAAAAATCACAAGCCTTTGAATTACTACCTTTTTGCACATCTGAGTGTAGATATTTTCAAAATACACTGCTGTCTGCAGGCATGATGCTACATTTTGGAAACATGTCTATTTGATTAGAGAGTAACTAGACATCGGTTATAGTAATCACATTTACAACATCTGGTTGCAACCAAAGCTTCACTTCAAGCTTTGGGGAGTTTTTACACATGATCTAATGGAGTGCTTCTAATAGTTTCATTCAGAATTACTCAGCTAAGTGTATTTGTTTAAACCATTGATTTGCTTGGAGGGAGAAAAGAGAAAGTGTTAAGTAAATTCCACTTAGAGTAACATTGATAAATTCACACTGTGGCTATGGGATACCAGTAAGGTGACAAAAGTCCTCTATGAAAGCTATTCAGTATCAGTAAACCTAGCTGGTCATGGTAATGTTGCCATGTGTTAAATATTAGTTGTCAGACTCTCACTTGAAGTGATACTGTAATGCTGAGGAAATTAGGACTGATCAGTAAAAAGCATTTCTTCAGCATGCTGCTTTTCACGAATAAGTGCTTTTTCATTACCCAGTATAAAGCACAAGCAATCTCTAGTGCCTGTTGTGGCATACCTTACTCTTTCAGCCCAAAACAAGGGCCTGTCACTTTCCTAATTAATGTGCTGCTTAATCACTTATCTATCAGGTCCAGTTGTGTATTTTGGCTTTATGAGCTCTAACAGGTATCTTGGCCATCACAGCAGACAAACAGAATGTTGCATGTAGTTTTGCATTAACTTTTGCTCTAGCTCTTGCTCTAGATAAGCAAAATGCCTTGATAATTTTGCAGAGGCTGTGTTCGGGCTTCCTTCATCCAAATGGCTTAATAAATAACACCAGCCGTCTGCTTTCTTTAAAAAGGCAGTCACAGAAAGCATTCACTTGTAAGACTTTGATTAGACTTATTGCTAAAGCCTGTCAGAGTTACTCATTCAAATGTAATGAAGATCCATATGGTCCTGTATATAAAGACATAAGACATCAATAAGTGTCTTTAGCTAAGGCTGGAAGCAAAGACTGAAAACTAGAAAATGTCATCTTAGCACTAAGAAGCCCTATTTTAAATATTGGTTGTATAACAAGACAAAAACAATCTAAATATTGTCTGTCAGTAGGCAACATATGCCTTTATGTGTCAGGCATATGGACTGAGTTTTGTTTAGAATTAGTGGATAATCATAAGCCATGTCCCTTAGAAGAGGCATGATATATTACTTTTGGAAAAGCAAACCTTAGAGTCTTAGTAGAAAGTAATGACCACCTTATCTGAATTGATTAAAAATCACAAAGCATAGGCTGATACAGGGATTATTTTAAAATATTGGAATAAAAGTCTGAATTGAAAGCATTTTGTAATCATACTAGCTAGAAAGAGTTCAAAACTGCAGAGAATTGGGGATGTAAATTTGGGGCTTATATTACATGACAAAAGCTACTTGGGATATGAAAACTAGCACACATGAAGTCCTTATGCTGCAAAATCCATGCAACAACCTACAGTTTAATTTATTATTGTATTTTTAAAACTTGCGTTTAAATTTCTGTGTAAAATAGCACTGGAGTTTTGATGATTGCTTCTTTCAGATTAATTCTAATACTATTTGAAATTCTCTTGTCCTTTCTCCTTTCCTAGATTATTTCAGTAGTGGGTATGATTTATCTATTTAATAAAATACAGTACATTAAAAATGTGGTACGTAATACAGTATTTTGGTCTGGATGGAAACCTTGAAGGATTTATGGGTTCTTTGATCCACTCATTAAGACAAGCTTTTGTCCTCTAATACTCATCAAGAGTCTAAAACTAGAATCTCCAAAATTAGTGCAGCACTATCTAATTAAAACTTAAGTTAAAACTCTTACTTAAATAACCCTAATAAGGAGGAGTATGCTAATGTAGGATGATGGTACAGATGCTTTATATTTTTTTAAATTAATACCAAATGCTAACACTTTTTCTTGTTTGTGTTTTAGGCTGGAGTAAAGGGAAAGCTAGGCAGACTACTTGGAATATTTGAGGTGAGCAGTTTCCTTTGAGTTCTAAAAGCAATGGTTGCTTTGTGAAAACTGATAAGCTGCAACATCACACTTAAGTTCATAAGTATTACCTACCTGTAATTTTGCAATGTTGCTTGACCTGCTGCATTAGACAGGACTTTAGGTGTTACATGATTTGTGAAGATTTGAATAGGAAGAGTTCAAGGTACTTATCCCAGTTTCACAGAATATTCTCAGTTGGAAGGGAACCCCAAAGACCATAGAGTCCAGCTTTTTAGTGAATGTCTTGTACAGGGATCAGACCCATCACTGTGGGTTATCCAGCACCAAGCTCTCACCAGCTGAGCTAATCTCAGGTCATTTTGGACCTCTACTGGAAAGATTAAATTAGTACTTATGGAGAAAAAAAAATCCCTAAAAACCAAACTATTCATAAAGTTAGGATTTCTGAACCATTACACCAGCCTCTTTTGAGGCACTCTTTTGACTTTTCCTCCCTGGTTAGATTTTGCTGAAGTAATTTGTCAACTTTCACACATGTAAATTGATAAGTCTGGATATGAATTCTCTTTATGGCTTTAATTTGCTAAAAAAAGGCCAAGGCTTTGGACAACAAATATATTAAACCTTTGGCTAACTATGTAGTTCAAAACATCTATTTGATGGTATAAACATCAGACTCTGAACTACCAACAGTGCAAGTACACATGCTAGCTAGAACTCTGTTTTAGTCCTGCTCAGGTTATAGACAGGAACAGACTGTAGTTTTAATAGTCTTCAGCTCCTAATACATCCAGTTGTTACTATGTTGTGTGGTATATTAAGTGGAAGTCCCTTAGTCTCAGTGAGGTACAAATCTTCACCCAGCTTTTATAGGCAGTGTATTCCTGACAGGGATTTCCTGTGTGAGGCATTACTTAGTCATGTGTCCCAGTGTGTGAAGTATGGAAGCCATAACACAATTAGAGAAGCTCCTGAAGCTTTGTAGTTAGTACTGCTCACATTTTCTTATATATTTTGGGTTTGAGTTGAACTGGATGGTCCCACACATTAAAAACTTGGCTGTGTTTTAACTCTGCTGGTCAGTCTACAAAAGTATTCGCCATTTCCCAGCTCAGACCAAAAAACCCAGGATAACCTTGTTGGCTTAAGACAGGGGCTGCAAAGCATGCTGATTCCTTGGTAGTTCAGGTATACATATGTTTAGATATATGGTACATATGTTCTTCTGAAGCCATTTAAAATTGATTGTGTCACTTTACTAGGTTACTTCTAACTTAAATCAAGGCCCTACTTTAATTTCTCAACAGGCTCCCACAAACTGTTGTTAGTACCATTGAGGGGGCCACACCTTGTGACCTGGGGATGGAACTAAGATGAAATGGAAAGAAATGCTGCTGCTGAGTCCTCTTATTCTAGAACTACAGTCAGAAAGGATATGTGTTATAAATATATGTATCTCATTTAGTGGTGATACTGACAAAGAACTCCTGGAGAATTTTTATTTCCTAGTAAAGCACAACAGTTCAAAACTATTTTAAGCTTGTAGTGAAAAATAAAGTTAAGTGGAAAAGGTTATTTTGGTTATTTGCACAAGAATACTGCCCTTCTGTTAGGGCAGCTAGGCCATAGCATCTCTTGGTTCTTAATACAGTTGTAATTGTAGAGGACCCTGGTTTTATTAGGAGCACAGCTCTTCTCCAAGGGGAAGGATGGTCTAACTGGTTGGGTAGCACCTCAAACACTGCCACTGGCCTGCTTTGGAGTAGCAGAGAGTAATGCTCCCATGGGCTGGCTGCAGCAATAGGGGCCTTGCCCTGAGCAGACAGCTCTGTCAGACTGTGTTTAACCTGCCTTGTGCAAAATACTTGCTTTTGAAACACGTGGTGAGTGCTGCCATCGTGGCAAACCTGCTGAATGAGCAGATGGCAATGATTTTTGCATTTGGCATGACTGCAAGCACAGGCTATTTAATTTGCCTCACTCAGAATGAAACTTTACAGCCAGCATTGTGTAGATGACATAGCCACCTGATGCAGTGGTTCCATCTTGAAAAAAGTGCTTGGGTTTTCTTAAATGACCTTTCATCCATGAAATGCATTGTGAAAACAGTTTTTGCAAATGTGGAGTACTGTGGTAATTTACAACATATGTAAAAGATAAGTACTAGTAATTATCCAGGGCAGTACTAGTGGATAATGCTAATATTTAGCTGGATGACACTTTGGTCAGAACTTCATAATCTTCAAAATTGTTTGTATTGTCTTTGGTTTGGTTCATTTTTTTTAGTCTAGTAAAAGAAAATAGCTGTTTCAAATAAAACTTTGGTTTTCCCATTATTTTGGGTCTCATCAGTACAGATGTTTATTTAATGAAAATGAAAGTCAGGCTTGCTGGCAACTATGCTTTAGAGGTAAGTAATTTCTATCTTGTAGTTGTGGTAAGTCTGTAAGTTACTTAGATGAGAATTTAAACTTGTACTTCTCATATTCAAGCAGAACCAGGATCGGAAGCATAGGACGTACGTTTATGTTCTTACTGTGACAGAAATACTGGAAGACTGGGAGGATTCAGTTAATATAGGTAAACTAATTCTCTGTCCTTATGTGCTACACTTAAAAATGTTGTAAGCAAACTCTTCATTTTTCTTAAGCAGTTTGTGTAATTCAGGGGGAATACTAATTCTGTTCTTGAAAAATTCAAGGCATGCGGTTCTTGCACACTTTAATACATAACTAGGGTTGCTTCCAACATAGTGTTACTCTTATTCTTAGAATACTCTAATTGTTATAACATTATGACAAAATAAACATTGTAATTTTTTAAAGGCCAAATACTATACTGCCAAATTGTTTTTTCCATAAAAAGTAGAATGTTTTATTGTCTGATACTCTAGGGTGTTTTTGAAAGTGTCCTTGATCTTAAATAAGTGGTTTATGTATATTCAAGCACAGTACATACAATGCCGTAAAACCAAATAAAAAATAGAATTCCTTCCATTTTAACAAGACCATCATTGACCTTGCTATATGTATTTTCAGAGACTTTGAATTTTAAAGGACCAGCTTGTAAAAGTAAGATGGTCTTAAGTGATCTTAGTAAAGTCTTGAATCTTACATAAACATGTCTGATACAAGGTATATTATGTTTTAAAACTCACACCTAACCTGAGTAACTCCATAGATGGATGCATATGGAGACTTTGAGTATGGACCATGGCTTTTGAAATCAGACCAAACTATTCTCATGCATGCATGTTCAGTCTCAAGATTGGTTTTCTGCTAGGCACATCAGTGTAGGATGGCAGTATCTAGTAATTTAAACAACATCACACTTTCCTCTAATGACCAGCTGGGGCTTTTGGAGCATATAAAGAGTCATACGAGTCTCTGTCCACTGTCTGCTTCAAGAGAGTTACCTGAAAGTCCTTATTATGAATTGCATTTCAGTAAGCCTGAGTGAATCTCTTGGGTTAATCAGTTCTTTCAGAGGTCTTTTTTTTCACTCCTTTGCCTGACAACTTCAACTTCCAAAGAACTGAGATAAAGTGAATAACTAGATAGTAACCAATAGTGCTGTTAACATTTTATAACTCTGTTCTTTCTTGTGGATTCAGGAAGGAAAAGAGAATGGTTTAAAGTAGAAGATGCAATCAAGGTCCTTCAGTGTCACAAGCCTGTTCATGCAGAATACTTGGAAAAACTGAAACTGAGCTGTTCACCCACTAATGGAAACTCTGTGGTTCCCCCTCTTCCAGATAATAACTCCTTATATGTCACTTCTGCACAGACTTCTGGGTTGCCCTCTACTGTGAGATAAACATTCGGATTACCTTTTTATTCGTGTCATCACAACAGGAGACATCTGTGATCACATGTAGGCATCTGTATAACTGTCAGTTCTAAGTGAAATATGTGAATGTGTCATAATGTCAAATTTATTTGAACATGTTTTTCTTTTAACAGTGTAAAGTAGTATTTCAGCAAACCAAAGCCATATAGGGATTTTTTAAGATGCCTTAATAGGCCATTAAAAAAAAAAAAACTTGACTATATAAATTTATAAATTTGCATATCTGCTAAAATAAAATATGCATCTCAGTGGTGTTCAGCTTATTTAAAATTTGTGAGTTTTAGTCAGTAGTTAAAGCTTGAGCAGATAGTCTAATACTAAACTCTTATTTGGTATCCACAGATGAAGTGCTAAGACCTTGAGCTGGCAGTATTTGGGTAAATGAATGTGTTGAAGGCAGAGGTGCACAAGGGTGACTGCAATAAAGCACTAAACCACATTCAGCCTGTCAAGAGCAAAGGATACCAACACTAAGCACTGCTTGCCTCAATTATCCAAAAGGTTGCCTTGTCCTATGCAATCTTCATGTAACATAAAACTAGGGCAAGAACAAGAACTTTGTCTTGCAGCTACCAAAACTATCCACTAGACTGTAGTTTCATCACTTGGTCAGCTGGTGAACTGTCAGAAGATTTGTGTGAAAAGCATTGTAGGTCTTTCTTCCCCATTTTTTTTCCTTTTAACCTTGATCCATGTTTGGTTCATGGTGTGATTACACTGCAGGTTCCAAAAACTTCTTTCTTCAATTAGAAACATCTCGTGTAGTGTTCCTGCAGTCTGTTGCAATTTAAACATGTTTGGAGGAAAGTAAGACTTAACCAGGGGCACCCTGAGGTTGCAGAGGTGTCTCTTAGCAAGCATGTGTTGAGGTGCCTTGCCCTGCAGGAGCCAGGAGTGCTGCCTGCAGTGCTTGGGACAGGAGTGTTGACAGATACTACACCAGGAGAGAAAAAATACCCCTTTATCCTATTAGAAGGAGTGCTGAAACCCCCAGTTTTAAGTTAATTCTTAAATCCTACAGGTCTACTGTTTGAACATCAATTTCTTTAGATTCTTCAAATAAAAGCTGGCCTCTTGGTAAAAATATAGTTGGAATAAATGAGGTACGGCTGACAACCTCCCTGTTCTAATTATTTCTCCTGCTTTCCATCCAAGAAGATGAAAACTAAATCCACTGTTGGTCTTAATGTTTTTACCATAGGATTACTCTCTCTGTATGTGTGTGTGTGCATGGTTTCTTCTACAAGAACACAATCTAATTCACATGAACATCCTACTTCTGAATTTTTTCTAGGATTTAAACCCAACTGTACCTCCTTTATATCCAGCCAAAACAGGTCGAGGTAGACCACTACCTCACACGTGAAGTTTATTCTGGGTAAAGCTCATTCTCTTCTACAACATTTGAACCTTTGTAAATAGTCCAACTAGTAAATAGTGAGTGTAAAATGGAAAATAAATGTAATTTAAACCTTTTGTTACTCAATACACAAATGGTTAACTTCTACTTTTTTAACACAAATTGTGTAAAATGCTGCTATGAATTTTTTTGTGCTGTTACACTTTTTTAGGAAAAAAAAATGTTGTTGCCACAAGTTACTCCTAGAAAAACAATCTTGTGCCATATATAAATGCAGTGAAACTAGGGAGATAGATGATCTGATCTCTTAATGCTGCTCTCTTTGAAGAGGCATAAATACTACTGACAAGAGGCATGAGCCACAAAGCTGAAGACTTCTGAAACAGTGGATAGGACACTGCTTTCTATCCCTCTTAGCTCCTAGTCCAGGTCACTTCCAGAACTGGAAAGAACACACAAGTGTTCAGGTGCACCTAAAGGTGGAAGCATTGCCAACAGCTTGTCCATCCTTTCAGCCATGAGGTGGGAGGCCAGGGAAGGAGCATTGCTGTTTCAGTAGTGCACACTACAGGGGAATCCCTATTTTACACTGAACCTCTTCCAGACTGGCACACCATTTGCTCAGCTCACTGCTTTAAACTGTTCTGCCAGGTGAAACAGGAGAAGGAGGGGTTGAGCATAATGAATGTCTAATCTTTATTAAAATCATACTCACGGTGTGGAAGGGTACCTCTGGCTCCAAAGCTGCCTTTAAAAGAATGAATCATTTAGCTCCCTTTTTTGATCACTTAAATGCTCACTTTTTTTGTTCAGTAGTTATTTTAACACTTTAAATTGAGCAAACTTGTATAGGTTTTCTTGTAACAAGATTATATCAAATCCATGAAAGCTCAAACAGAATCCAGAGTTTGAGTTTTTATTCATTTAAGAAAAACGCTCTGTCTCCATTTCAGATTCTTGGAATGAAATCAATCCAAGCTTGTATGAGATTTAGTGGTAATGCATGATCTTATTTTGTAACTCTTGAATTATGTATTTGATAATAATGTAAAATGTACAGTATTGCTGTTGCTAACAAACTCAGAGTTGATTGCCTATAAATATTTTTGGTCACACACATTTGAGCTGTTCAGTAGTGCCAGACAGATTTTTTTTAAACAGCATTTGTTGTACAAATCTCTTCAGTCTCTATGCAACCTTCAGAATGAAGTTCTATTGCTTTGACTTCTACTCCCTTTCAAAGAGAAATGTTTTGTGAATTGCAGATGTAAACTGAAGACATTTCAGTTTTGCTACAGGGAACAACTGCAGTAAAGGGACAGCAGTATGGCTTCAGTACTAATGAAATCTGACACTAAACTCCAACAGAAAGAGTTGTAAAAATGGGAAGAGGAAGGCTACAATTTTTCTACTACCAATCAATTTAAATGTTAGAAGCATTTTGTTTTTACGTGAATCACTAGTTTGATGGGCCAAACCTATTTCAAACAAAGCAAATTTGGGATTTCTCTATGCCAAAAAAATTTGTGCAATGTATCCAATTTGGTTCTCCAAAGGAAAAAGGGAAGAGACAGGTTGTCATCTGCAATTGTTGGAGTCTGCTTTGTACTGCTGCTTTTCCTGGCTGATGGGTTTGGAGATTCTCATCCGTTACATTATGGTGGTATCAAAGAAAAAGAGCCTTAAAGTTGAAAATCTCATGGAGACAGAATTAAGCAAAATGGATGTGCTTTTAAACACAAGAAATCCTGAGGTATTGCAGAGAGGCTGTTCAAGTGAAAAATCTTATTTTGGTGCTTACTGCACCCCTGGCTTAGCCTAGCATTGTTCTGTTAACAATGTGCTGTGAAAAGAAACGTGAGGGGCAGACACTTGGTTTACTTACCAGCATGGTTTGTGAAGTGAAAACTGAAAGGAAGGGGGGAGGGGGGGGGGAGGGGGGGAAGGGAATTAAGTTGTACACATTTTGACCTGCTTGCATGGATTTTCTTTAAAGATTGATGTAAGAATTTTGACTTTTTATATTTGAGAAATACCAGAATAAAATCTAAATTAGTCCTGTGGATGATGTAGTCATTCCATTGCAAATACTGCACTAGAAGTGTTTGTGTGAAAGGCTTCAGCCCCATCTAAACTACATTTAAGTTTCATCTAATGTTTCCTACTTCTTGCCTTGTCCCTGCACTCAAGCTTTACCAAGCTCCTTGTTCCAAAGAATCATTTCTTCTCCTTAACTTGACATGACACTCCCCTCTCCCCTTAGCACACATATCCAGTGCCTGTCCCAACTTGAAAACTGAAAACTGGTGGCAGTGCTCAGCCTGCTGCTGGAGCCCTCCCTCCCCTTACCTTGTTCTTTGAACCTGCAATCTTCCACGCTGGTGGGCTGGTGAGCAGCTCCTGTGTTTCCCCCTGTCAGGATGACTTGTGACAAGCAATTACCACAGCTCCCTCTTCAGCTTAAGGAGAGTTTTCCTGTCTGGCCCCTATCACTGGATCTCCAAGGCATCCAGTGACATGTAAGACTCAAAGCAGAAGTGTGACAAAGCACACACATGGCAACTAAGGCAAGAGTGATTGACTTTCCCAAGACTTGGAGACATTGTAAGAATCTTCCATCTTGAACTGAAAAAAGTTAAGGGTTTTTTTAAACTTAGCCTCTTTCAATACTCTTAGGGTCTCAGTACTGCTGTGGCATTAGGCAAGGCACTGCCTCCTTGGCTCAAGTGATGAACAGCCCCACATCCCCATTAGGACAATGCTCCACATAAGGAATGGTACCACCTCTTAACCTGCAGACTCAGCAATCACAGGCATTTTCTGCTTGTGACAATCTGATTGCTATGGGCTATGCACCAACACCCCAAACAATGCTCTCAGACAATTTTCTTCCCTTAAATAAGCAGGAAATACTGTTCAAATAGCCATTTTAGGAAGGCAAGGGGCCACTGAATGTGTCTGCTGTGTGATCAGCTGCTGCTTGCCTCACAGCCCACACTGCTTTCAGCAGCTCAGTGGTAGCACTGGTTCCCAGCAGCTTTCCCTCATTTTGCCACCAGTTCTGATGGATGAGGAAGCATTACAGCAATGTATGATGCTGGCCAAAGACTATCAGCTTGTGCACTTACCCTGCTGTTGGCTTACCTGTGGCCTAGTGCCCATTACATCCAGACAAATTTTGTAACAAGGTTCTTGTCCTAAGGGCATTTTTGCTGTCATTCAACTGCTTCACTCTCCTAAATATTTCCTTTCCTGCTTTCTGGCTGTGACACTAATGCAACCTGTCTTTGAATAAGGTAGACAAACATCCACAGCAACTGAAGGAAGAAAAAACACCATTAGAATCACCTTATTGTGTCTTGTGAGATTAATCTACCCTTGATAATTGAGCATGGGACCACAGACATTCTTCCACAAATTTACCAGAACACTGTATTACTCATGAATAGCTGATGGGAAAATGACAGCAGGTATTCAGGCTGAGACAAGCACACCCACTACAGCAAGCAACAACTGAACATCACACATGAAATGTTTCAGATTTATAAATGACCTTGCAAACCTTAGTAGGCAGCTTAGGTAGGAAGGTTCAGATTAGGCCTGAACCAAAAATACTCCTTCACTCTAGCTCTGAAGGCAAGGACCCAGCTTACACAAGTATCTGGAACAACCTTGCACAAGTACTCCAGTCAGAGATGATTTTATGTGAAATAATTTGTATTTACCTTCCTACAAAATTAACTAATAAAAATGCTTCTGTTACATGTCACACTTGCATCCATCTCTTACCATGCAGTGTGGAAGTACCTGTGGTTCTCCTCCAGGTAGAGCACTCGCTCTCAGTGATGAGCGGACCAAGAGTGACAGCTCTGTAGCAACTAACTGAGCTACGCAGGTGTGTCCTCTTAGAGCACAATTCCCTTCCCTAACCCAGGGCAGCCAGTGGGTAGTGTTCCCCTGAGTGCTTCACTGGAGCAGCCTTTCCCCAGACATACTCTACTTGCTCACCTAACCCCTTATCTAAGAGCTGGGGGGAGTTCATGAAAGCAAACACCACAGATAAGGCAGTCATGCTGCTTGATGCCTCTTTTCTAATGCACTTCAGTGCAACATAATTAAATATTTGCTTTAAAAGTATCCTGCACACTTCCACAGAAAAGGCTGCAACAAACTACAAACTCCACCCCAGCAGGCATGTGATTATTAACCTTGTTAATAATGCAACATAGCCATGCTCATAATGCAACACAGTTCAGCAAAGCTCAATACATTTATCAATTCATTGCACTAGAAACTGTCCAAACTTGCAAGTAAGTAGGAAAGCCTTGTACTAAACCAGACAGATTTGAACAAGCAGGCAAAACCCAAAAAAACAACAAAGGACCCCACACACTCCTAAACAAAACAAAATCAAACAAACAAAAAAGAGGGGGAAGCAGGGGAGGGACTCAACACATCCTCTGGGCTGTGTACCAGAGCAGTCTCCTCTGAGGATTTCTAGGACAGAAGTGCTGCTCTTCTCTCTACAAAGTGAGGGGAAGCCACAAGCAATTGAAAAGTTGTAAGAGAAGTTAAAGGTTATCTTTCTTATTTTACCAGATGTTAAGAACTCTTAGGAAACTTGTTGAACACTGATGGCAGCCCACTGCAGTTAAATGAAGCTCAGTGCCTAAGTAATGAATAATCACTCTTCCTTTTATTTCAGTGTCATATCACATTACAGTCAAGACATGTTATTGACAAAACCTACCAGACATTTTACTTTAACCCTCAAAAAAAAACCAAAAAAACAAAAAACAAAAAACCCAACCCAAGAAGAAATGTATATAAATAGAGATGTCACAATTTTTGATGTCACTAGTCCATTAAGATGTTCCACAATAGTCTCAATGTGTTAGAAATACAATTACTTGAAAGCTATCAAAGCAATGTTTCACTTGGTTTAGACTAAAGTCAGCTAAGATACAAAACACCTGTTCCATCAGTTCCCAGTAATCATACACTTCATACCCATGACAGAACATGGCTACATGTGAAGAGACCACCACTGAATATTTATGCAAAACCAAAAGTCTTCCTCTTGATCTACAGGAAACTACTGCAAAAGTATTTTGCATGTGTGGTTATAGAGCCCACATGATAACCCAGGCTCAACAGCTGCACAGTTACTACCCAAACACTGACACATAAAATGCAATGTCATCACTCTTGCTCAGGATTTTAGGACATTTGACACATAGCACCAGTAATGGTAGAGGAAACCCATTTATTTTAAAGTTACTGTAAATTGATTCAATAGACACATACTAAAAATGGAGATAAAACTAACATTCCCTAAAAGACAGCTGCATTTGCTTATCAGCTGCAATGGTGGGTGGAAGAGAAATAACTGAGTTTCACATAGCAACTGGGAATATACACCTGTATACACTGAGGAAAAGCTTTTATCTTACTAGCTTCAAAGAACTTAGCCTGTCACACATTCCTTGGCACAAGCTGGAATGAAATTCCCAGCTTGACTTTATACAGGGCTCTTAAAAGAGGTTTAGAAGTAAAATGAGTATTATTTAATATACATTATCTGGGTCTGGATTCATTCTGCCTATGAAGATAAAACTGTTTAAGTGCCAGCTCAGGTCTTGTTTCTCTACTGAAGGGAGGGAAAGCCACTGTCAAAGAGGATGCTTAGGTGGGTCTGACTGTCCTCTGGGGGTGCCACCAGCCCTTGGACTAGAGACAGAGCTGAGGAAAGCTGCGTATGTAGTGTAATATAAAGCATTAAGAGGTAGGTGAAGTGAATCCAGACTCTACAGCACAGCTCACTTATTCTCAGCTGCCTGCTACAGAAGTTACCTATGCTAGTAGCAGATCCAGGACATAGCCCAGCCAGCCCCAAACAGACATTTGTAAGAAGAGAGGGTTAATGGTGCTTACCCACTCTGAAGAACATGCTACAAGCCCTGGACCAACTTTGGCTTACATTCAACACAGAAAGTACTTTTAAAACAGTTTTTTATGACTCAGTTTGGTGAAAAAGTTGAATTCTGAACCATTCTTCAACTATGTTGGAGAGAACTTTGAGGGACAATAGCAGTTACTAACCACTGAAAGCACTGTCTGTTGGAAAACATAGTTTTAATAGATATTCTTCATCTTACATAAGAGCACAATAAATACACCACATTCTATAGAAATTTCAGATGATACTAGAGGAAGAAGAGGTGAAAGAGGGAGAATACCAACAGACTACACAACCATGCCCCTGGATTGCATGACAAAATACTCCCTTACTGCAACCACTACAAGCTGTCATTTATGCATTTCAGGTTGGCCTTGCCAAGAGCTTTTAAGCTTTTTTGTTGCTTGGTTGGTTGGTTTTGTGAGGGAGAGGGCTTGGGGAAAGGAAGAGAACAGAGATACAAGAAATGAAGGGAAGCAATTAGATGGGTTCCCAGAAGAGATACTGGACTTCTAGACAGGATGCATACACAAAAAACAAGGACAAGAAGGAATTTTTTCATCACTTTCCTCCCCTCCAATAAAGAAGTTTTGTTGCTCTTTAAGCTGACCAAGTTGCTCAAGCAAGTAGCTTAATAAGGCTTGTAGAGAAAAACCAGTGGTATGAGTTGCTAGCTGTAAGGGGCTAAGCAGACATCAGTCAATGCATAAGCTGGCTCTAACAGTGGTTCTACACACTGGAATTTCAAGTTAATAGAGGGCAGGAATTAAAGAAGTTAGAAAACCGTGCTGCTATGCAGATACTCGTAATTAGTGCTGCTGTTTGCTCTCCACCTCCTACTTCATTCTGGTTATATCCATGAAAACACATATCGACGCATTGCTAAAATTAAGGTTACAACTGTTCCATCAGAGACTTGTTTCTAAAAGTCACTCCAAATGCAATTTCATATTAAATTGGCCATGTAAGGTCACCCACATAACACAAACTAATAAAAAAGTCAGGAAATGGATAAAGAAAAACAAATAAAAACCCACAAAAAAACCCTTGTGAATTTCCCTTCTTTACTGTTAAATCTGTCAGATTGGTGAAGAAAAATTGTCA